GAAATTAAGAGAAAGGTTATGCACAAACCTTCTCCACATCCATAAACTCATCAGTGGAGAAAAATACAAACACAACAAGAAAGAGGGTGAGGATTCCTCACTATTCCTTCTAAAATATACACTCAATAGTGAATAATCCCCACACTCTTTACCTGAATTCTGCATAAAAATTGAAACTTTTACTTGGAATCATAAGTCTTGCCTTTACCTCTCAAAATCTCTTTTGCTCCAAATTCTCACGTACTGCCCAAACTTATTTTTCTCTCTAATTTTATTTTAAATGAAAAATCTTATTTAATCTTTTATTATTTCTAATTCTCCCCCTCCATTTTTGGTCTTTCACTCCTTACAAACCAATTATATCATTATCCTACTTTCCACTGCAAATCTCAATATCTCTTATTTTATCCATATTTCTGTTGTTTTAATTAACTAAAATTATTGATAAATAATATAAATTCTACCCCCACCTGAATAAACCCCACAAAACACATATAACAGTCTAATAAATCACATCAACACATAAAACTCAATAAAATAAACCAATTTAAAAATTGGGGTGTTGTTAGACGATGAGCTTAGATCTGGAGGGGGCTGAATAGATCACAAATTCAAATTCTAAACTTTTACAAAAATGGTTTTCTAAAGTTTTATGGCACAACAGAAACAACCCGAACCGAATTGTCTAATCGAACTTATTATCGAAAAGTTAGAATATGTGTAAAGTTACACAATTGAATAATAATGAACACAAATTGCTCAACAAATATTAATCACAAACAATTAAATGTTAAGCTACACGTAGGCAATTTATAGAACACCTTGTGTGCAATCGATAACGTTTGGAAATTTAACTTGTTTTATTGATGTTAAAGACTATCACAATCAAAGTGATTATGATTATATCAATAAACCTTAATTCAAAACATAATTAAAAAAATTGATTTCCAAACAAATTGATCAAAATAATAACAAATTCAATAATTTGCAAATATATATATATATATATATATATATATATATATATATATATATATATATATATATATATATATATATATATATATATATATATATAGAGAGAGAGAGAGAGAGAGAGAGAGAGAGAGAGAGAGAGAGAGAGAGAGAGAGAGAGATTTGTTTAGCCAATTTCTCAATCGGCCTCATTATGGGTATGTATGCCCTCAATTCCAATTCAAATTGAGATAGTTGCAATTAACCTTACTTTGCAAAAAGTATATATACAAGAGATGAAGAAATCTAACACCTTCAAAAACCTTGATCAAATGTTGACCAAGTCACCGACAATACTGCTTTAATCCACCAGTTCTTGTTACTACCTTGAAAGACCTCCTTCTCAAGGTTTTTGCTCCGCCAGATTAATCTCAAGCACACACTTATTGAACCCAAGATTTACGAACACAATCCACCGTCTCACGCTACTCCCTTACAAGGAAACCACCTTATCCAAGGCCTTCACTCGATCGAATCCGTATTTGCATAATCTTGTCCAAAACCTTCAAATCCTCAATGATCTTGAAGGAAAACCCCCGCTTGATTTTCTTATTTTAAACGCAGAAAGAACTCAACCCAATATTCTCGATACACCAACCTAATTGTAAGTTATCAACCCTTATCTAGATGGTCACCCAATCAAAAAATAATTATGCGTAGTTTAATTGTGTGTATGGATAAAAGATGGGTTGAAGATGATGAGTATCTTTGTAATTCTAGTTTCGTATAGGTTTTACACTAGGACCTTACTAGAAAAAGATATATATATATATATATATATGTGTGTGTGTGTGTGTGTGTGTGTGTGTGTGTGTGTGTGTGTGTGTGTGTGTGTGTGTGTGTGTGTGTGTGTGTGTGTGTGTGTGTGTGTGTGTGTGTGTGTGTGTGTGTGTGTGTGTGTGTGTGTGTGTGTGTGTGTGTGTGTGTGTGTGTGTGTGTGTGTGTGTGTGTGTGTGTGTGTGTGTGTGTGTGTGTGTGTGTGTGTGTGTGTGTGTGTGTGTGTGTGTGTGTGTGTGTGTGTGTGTGTGTGTGTGTGTGTGTGTGTGTGTGTGTGTGTGTGTGTGTGTGTGTGTGTGTGTGTGTGTGTGTGTGTGTGTGTGTGTGTGTGTGTGTGTGTGTGTGTGTGTGTGTGTGTGTGTGTGTGTGTGTGTGTGTGTGTGTGTGTGTGTGTGTGTGTGTGTGTGTGTGTGTGTGTGTGTGTGTGTGTGTGTGTGTGTGTGTGTGTGTGTGTGTGTGTGTGTGTGTGTGTGTGTGTGTGTGTGTGTGTGTGTGTGTGTGTGTGTGTGTGTGTGTGTGTGTGTGTGTGTGTGTGTGTGTGTGTGTGTGTGTGTGTGTGTGTGTGTGTGTGTGTGTGTGTGTGTGTGTGTGTGTGTGTGTGTGTGTGTGTGTGTGTGTGTGTGTGTGTGTGTGTGTGTGTGTGTGTGTGTGTGTGCGCGCGTGCGTGCGTGCGTGCGTGCGTGCGTGCGTGTGTGTGTCTATATATATATGTGTGTGTGTGTGTGTGTGTGTGTGTGTGTGCGTGCGTGCGTGCGTGCGTGTGTGTGTGTGTGTCTATATATATATGTGTGTGTGTGTGTGTGTGTGTGTGTGTGTGTGTGTGTGTGTGTGTGTGTGTGGACCTATAAAAGCAATAAGTCGACCTATCAAAGAAATTAGGTTGAGCTGTGAATGTCTTAAGCCGGCTTGTAGAGGTCTTGTGTTAGCCTAAGTTGGTCAGCCTATGGACAGTGGCCAGTGCCTTTAATATTGATGTTTGGAGGTCGACCTGAGGAGTTTATGTGTTGATCTATACTGAAGCAAAAGCTTCTATAGGTTGACCTACACGCATCTGTGTCAGCCTATCCTATAGTGTCATCATAAAAACTTATTTTTCAATGCTTTTTTCACAAACAAAAAAAAAACTTGTTTTCAATGCATGTATGTTTTATGATCCTTTTCCAAACCATTTTAATTTAATGCTTCTAAGGCTAAGATTCACATCTAAAATTAGTTGATACCATCCAATATACAATAACGCTACAATTCTACATCGTTCAAAATACTTATCTTACGGAAAGTAGCACTCACAAGTGTTACACATGAAATGAAACAAATAATACCAATGCAAAAATCATTAGGCGTTCCTCTCTGAACCCACTCCATCATCAGTATAAGGTCACCGCAGTAGTTCATTTCTGAACTACAAACCTCAACATAAATATTTTCAATATAAGACCGCCACAATATAATTCATCATGAATTTTATAATTACAACTCAACAATGTTTATAATTAAATAATTAGTCAACTATACTACCAACGGGGTAAAATATCACTACATAGCCCTAAGCATCCAACAGGGTCAACTCATAACTCAACAGAGTTTACAACTAACTCTTTCACTTTTTATTCAAGGATTACGAGTCACAAGGGTACTCTAACTTTAACTCAACTACTCATCAACTCGACTCTGAACATGTAAGGTAACTCAAAAACTCAATTTTCTTGACACACACAACACTCCAAACACATCAACATAACTTAATAACTTACTAATAACTCTAAATATATCAAGTGACTTAGAACTCAACCATTTTTATTCAACTCGACTCTAAAAATATCAAATACCTCAAACTCAACTATAAGAATGTCAAATACTCTAAACTCAAATGTAAACATTTCAAGTTCAACTCTAAAAATATAAAATACCACAAACTCAACTCTAAAAATGTCAAATAACTCAAACTCAATTCTAAACATATCAATCTGCTCAAATTAAAGTTATTTATAAAAATATTCAATTGCTTAAATTATTAAAGGGTTTCCTAAAACTCGGACCTTAACTCTAAAATTGTCTTGCTTCACATTTGTTTTAAATATTATAAACTCATGATAAAATTATGAAACTCTCCAATTTAAAAGTTTTTTAAGCTGTTTTTTAAGCTCTCTTTCAAACGCAATTGATTGCATCTTAATTGGAGTTACGAAACACCAGTTCTATTTGTTTCATTTCAGCCATATCACAATATTTCCTGCATAAACACTACAATAGAATGTATGATTTTAAAATAGCACCAAAAATTATAGAGTTATGATAAAATTATGAAACTCTTCAATTTAAAATATTGTTAAATTTTATTTCTAACACATCTAACCACACCTTAAACGAACTTGCAGGACTCAAATTACGCATGAAACAAGATGACAAACGCATAACTAAAATTTGACTACCATATGGTGTAAAAATTAGAGAATTGTTATTGTTGTAGTGCTTCTAAACTCAATTTACCCACTTCAAAAGAAAGATTATTGTACTAACTTTTTAACTTAACTGACGACATCTCAGACGGACTTACGAAACTCAAGTTACGCATGAAACAAGGCGGTTAATCTTCTATGTCTACCGGTGATTTTCTACGTTTTTCTCTTTATTGAACATATCAAAAAATCGTCTATTTCTCATATTTGAGTTCTCAAATCCATGGTTGAGGTCAAGAAGGCTTGTTTGAGGCTTCCTCTAGGAGTGAGGGATGATTACTTTTACATGTATACGGACATTATACGTAATATGGAGGTAGGAATTCCTTTCAGTGTCTTTGAGGCTGACGTTTTGAAGACAATTAATGTTGCCCTCTAACAACTCCGTCCAAATAAACATGCCTTCACGAGAGGATTCAAAATACTATGTGAGGCCATTGGGATGACACCCACCATGGCCATTTTATTTTCTTTTGAAAGGTCAACACATATTTTTCCGGATTATAATGTTTCTCCTTGTTCATTGAAGTTTTTCACCAAAATGAACTAAAAACCTCTTATGAAGAACACATTGCTTTCTGTTTTTTTCTTTGGCTAACTGCCAAATTGATGAAATGTCAGGTGAAGAAGAGATTGAGACTAAGACTATTGAGTGATTCCATTGATAAAAATTATCTTTCATAATCTGGGGAATGCATTGTGCTACATTGTATACAATTATTCAATGCTCAGAGAAATTTAAAACCAGTTTTATACTGGAATAGGAGTGAATCTTGAAGAGCTTTGCAAACTAGCCGCATATTCCCGTGCCCACAGGTCATAGTGAATAATTTCTTCAAGGGAAGGTGAGGTTAACAATTCAGCTTGATGTTTCTCACATGTTAGCTCCACAACCTTGAAAATATCCAAATAGCTAATCCTGGAAACACCAAAATAGCCAATTATTAGATGACAAATTACATCAACAAGAAGACACATTGTAGCCTAAAAGCTAAGGAGCACGAAACTCGATGAAGAAAATTCCATGCGAAGATATAAATATCCCGCAAAATTCTTAGGTAAGATAGCAAAATACAGTATTAATCTTACTTTTCATCGATAAACATTTCTACAGCTTTCTCATTTGCTGCGCTAAGAACTCCTGTCATGGTGCCTCCAGCGCGTCCAGCAGCATAGGCAAGATTCATCGATGGATACTTAATGTTGTCAGGAGCTTTAAAAGTAAGTGAACCAATCCTGTATAATCATATTTCAAATTTTCAAATGGTGCCTAGGTGGATTTGTCTATTTTCTTGAGTATGAAATAAGAAAACAAAATTAAGGGGAAAGTAATCGTACTTGCTAAGATCAAGCCGAGGCCAAGTGACTTCAGAACAATAAACTCTGTCAGGCCATGATAACGTATAAAGGATTGGCAGACGCATATCAGGCCACCCCAGTTGTGCAAGAACAGATGAGTCCTAGAAAGAAAAAATAATTTGGTATTGGATAAATACTTAGCAAGATTTAATGATTTCTATCTTCTTTCTTCTTATAAGTAACATGTTAACATTTCAAAATAAGGTTTTAACCTGTGTCTCAATCATAGAATGTATGATTGATTGCGGATGAATGACAATATCAATATCATCATAATCAGCTCCAAACAAGTAATGTGCTTCAATCACTTCTAGACCCTGCAAAGACGTAGAATAGTTTTACTTTACAGTCGGAAAATTTAAAGTTTAAACCAAATAGTCATACAGATTTCAGAAGAAAGGAACAAACCTTGTTAAATAGTGTAGCAGAGTCCACAGTTATCTTTTTCCCCATACTCCAGTTGGGATGTTTTAATGCATCGGCAACTTTAACATCTTTCAGTTTCTCAACAGGCCAGTCCCTAATAATCATGAAGCAAATGAATAATACTGACATTACAGCCATGTTGATCATATCGGGTCTAGAAACAGAAGTATTTAAGGAAAATTCAAGGTTTTCCATGACCAACTAGTCTCCGTCGTGATATGAAAAGTTGGCAGCAAGCAAAAGAAAAAAATTGAGGAACTGAACATGCAAAACAGAAAAACTGCATTCATTCAGGTTTGCTTTACATACCTAAAAGCACCTCCAGATGCAGTTAGAATAATTCTCCTAAGTGCACCCTCTGGCAACCCCTGGATACACTGAAGTGAAGAATGCTTTCAGTTTTTCCATTAATAGATGAGTACGTGATAAAAGCAATTGATAAGTTTACAAAAAAACACGTAGAGTCCAAAGAAAGAAATCGGAAATAAATAAACCGGTATATCTATAGTCTACTACTCTTGTTGAACACACAAAGTATTTGATACAGTATGTGCTGTTGTACCTGAAAAATGGCAGAATGTTCAGAATCGGCAGGAAGTATTTTTACGTTATGCTTCCGAGCAAGAGGAAGAACAAAAGGACCTCCAGCAATCAGTGTCTCTTTGTTTGCCAAAGCTATGTCTTTTCCAGCTTCTATGGCCGCAACTGTTGGCTAATAAAATAATGAGAGGAACTTCAGCAATCTAATATATATATTGTCTGGTAATGGTAATACCACCTTAGTTTTGCCGTTTCTCACTCAATCCATTTTGCTACGGTTTTTGTCACCAATAAACAAATACTCGAACCAGTCCTTAAAAATATCATATCAATGGAATTGCTACTCGAAATAAATACCAATTTCATGCAATTTAGACCATTAAAAGCAATATATCATTTCTATATTATTATTATATATACAATGACATTCTTTACTTCACAATTTGTTGGATATGATTAATGAAGTTAATTAGATGCATACACACAGTGTTTTTTGTTGCATAGCATATAGAGCTGTTACAAAAGGAACCGGGGAAAAGGGAAAATAGGCTACCTTTAGTCCTGCACAGCCTACGATTCCTGTAACTACGGTTACGGCATCTGGGTGACGTGCAACCTGAGAATATACAAGCAATAGCTTATGAAACACAGCATTGGTATTCTGAACCAAATTGCATCATATGAACAAACCAGATATCCACCTCAATGATTCCTTGCTCTCCAGGGATGATCTCAGGTTTTTGTTCAACATCTTTCAATGCCTCTTCAAGTTCAGCAATTAGAGACTCATTTCTAACAGCAACAAGTTGTGGCTTAAATCTTTTAACCTGTGCAACATAAATACGGAGAGATTAGTCTTTTTCCATGGGATTGAATTCATCATGCAAGACTTAAGAAGCTATTCTGATCAGTAAAAAAGAAACAAACCAATCCAAAGTTTCATTACATGGTTGAAGTGAAAGTATTTACCTGATCTACAAGAAGAGTAATGTTTGAACCAGCTGCAAGCGCAACAACTTTAAACTTATCTGGGTTCTCCGCAACGATATCTAGTGTCTACAAAAGCATACAGAGCAAATAATATTTACAGGAATGAAGTACTAAAAACACAACATTCCTAACATAATAGGGTCCAAGGTTTTATAAAACGGTCCATTACCGCGAAAATGGACGCCACAAAACGGAAGGTGTCAATACCGATATTGTTATTCACTGTTTATACGATGAAAAATAAATTATGGTTAATTCACATCGCGACGACCGTAATCAGTGTTACAATACCTGTATTATACTGACTGAAATCGCGAAGGCCTTTACGCGACCGTGACCAAAATCGCGAAAGCCTTTCCGCAACCGTGACCGAAATCACAAAAGCTTTTACGCGACAGTGACTGAAATCGTGAAAGCTTTTACGCGACTGTGACCGTTATTTAAAACCATGGGTCCAGACTTTATGACAGCAGTACCTGAGTTCCAATTGAACCAGTAGATCCCACAATGGAAATAGGTTTTTGGCCTTCCCAAGTCTTATAACCTAGTTCTGGAACAGCTCGTCCTGGCCAAGCTGGTGGTGGTGATGACGACTGCACTGAACAAAAAACTCTTCTTCCACCAGATGCTCTTCCATCATCTCTTCTTTTCAAAGAAACACCACCTGATAATAAAATCAAATAATTATGAAACTAAAACAGAACCTAACATAGCTTTTCAAAAAAAAAAAAAAAACAGTTTATCAGACAGTAGCATCAAGATAGTACACCCCACACGAAATGATTTGGTATACTTATCTGAAAACAAATTATTCTTATTCGCTAACTCATCAAAGTGATTTTCATAGCTATGAAGCCACTAAACACAAAAGGAAGAACAATATATAATGGAATAGCACAATTTCGGGATTGAAGAGAAGAAAGAACCTGGGAATTTAGGTGCGAAGAGGTTAGACTTGAGGGGATCAGTAAAGAAAATAGACTTGAATTCAGTTGGAGAAGACAAATTGAGAGCCATCTCAAGAACAAGAAAAACTAGAGAGAGAGATTACAGTGATGTTTTGTATGTAGCAAGAATGGTTAGAGGGAAAAGATATTGTGACAGAAAAAAGAAATATCGTAACCAATATTATTATAGCACAATGGATGTGTTTTCGGACAGCATTTATTAATTAATTTAAAAATATTATCTAAACGGAAAGTGGGTAATATAGAAATAGAAAAGAATGAAGACAAAATAGAGACAAGACGAGTTTTCAATTTGTGGAATCATCGTTAGCTCATGCCAACTTTGATGCCAATCTCTATTAAGACAATAAAACATTTTTTTTTTACAAACGCTATGGGAGTGAGTCAATCAAGCATGTTAAATTGAGAATTAGCATGTGACTGATCTAAGTAATTTATGTTATTAGTTAATGTTTTTTATTTTTGAATTAATTTTATGTTGATATTTATTAGATGCTTTAGTTTGGAACTTGTGATTGTTTTGAACATTTTAAAAAGATTCGCTGTTAAATAATGTAAATGGGTACTACGTTACTTATAAAGTGTTCAGTTAAATGATTGTATGTTGGATTCTTATTTTTTGATTAATAACTATTAGAAGAAAAAAATTATATTAGTTGTATTCATGAACCCAGACAAAAATGAATACTCATTAAAAACATATGAGGAAAGTGAATTAATTTAAAGGTTTTTTTTTTAAGTAATTAAAAATAAAAAGAAATTTTTTCTCTTTTTCTTTGTAAGGAAAACAGTAGTTTTTTTTCTTTCTATTTTTGTAATAAATAAATTATTTTAAAAATCAAATGAATTTTTATATTTTAAATGAAAGATTGGTAAATAATGTGAATGGTAAAAGTAATACAACTTTCATAATATATAATAAATTATTTGTTATAATTGGATTAAGATTAATTTAGTCTGTTTTATGTTTTCCTGTATATTATTTGTTTTAGAAAGAAACTAAAAATGTAAGATGAATTAGTGATTGGATTTTTGATGCGGTACATTGAGTTTTTTTGAGGCGTGAGGTGTTTTTAATGTTAGCACTCAAACATTCAATTTAGTGAGAGAATGAGAAATGATGAGTGATGGACATGAATTTGAATTACATGTAAAATGACGCATATTCTCTTTATATAACAATGATAGTTATAATAGTTTTACGTGAAATGCAACGTATTATGCAGGAGATTATCTGATTGAACTAGACCGTGTCTGATGAGCTAGGGGACGAGATCGTGTGTGCTCGAGAACATGAAGGTCCTCATTTATTATGTGTAGTGCTATATAGTGTTCGATTTTAGGCCTCTTTTACTAGGCCTTCGAGGCGGTCTATAATACTTGCCCCTAAAGCTCTTTCCTCTGCCGTGCAGGGGAAGGGTTTTGCTGTGCATGCTCTGGGATCAACTAGAATTATATGCCAAGTAAAGGGTAATAACCAGCACATTAAATACATTATGCGTGTCGCATGTCTTTCTGCTCACGTGTACCCCATCGCATGCCAATAATGATGACCTTCAGATCTTATGACACTTGAGTATATGAAACGTATTTCAGGAAGATCTATATCGTTGGGAGTACTTCCTTTTCTCCTAGCTGTATGAGATCGTGATGCTCTTATGTTAGGAGTACCCATAAAAAGCTTCTTTGTTTATTTTTTTACCCTTTCGTCCTTTGAGTTCTAAAATGTTCTTCTTTCCCTTTGTTTTATTTGAGATATCCACAAAAATTCTTGGACTCCTAGCTTTACTTAACATATGTTTGTATTGAAAACTCTTTTTGATGTTTTCCCTTAGTTTCACTATCCTTAAGGTAGCATTAGTTCCTTTTCCTTCCTCTTCCTTAGTTGAAGTCTCTTATCTTGCTTTAACCCTTCTGGTGTCTTTTGTGTAAAATTTATTATTATGGAGGTTGCATGTGTCATGCGCCAGAAAGCGGAGAGGGATATCTCATATGTCTGGGTGGATCCATAGATTTTAGATACTACTTTTGTTGATCTATGTGCTTGTAGGTGATGAAGATCCAAGATCCATATTTGAAGTCTTGACGACAACAATGCATAACAATAGCTTTCAACCTTGATGATGATAGTATACCAAAGCAATGTATGAATCGTCAATAAAATGACTCAAGATCAAAGTGCATGTACAATCAGAAATTATCTAGCAAAAGTCTTAAAGCTCTTTGGAGAAAGGTGTGAAAGCTTTTCAGGTCATGTCTGTTGTTCTATCTGAGTGAACCCAGTATTGTAAAAGTAAGGTAGTAACTTAAGAGTGCTAAGGCAACTCACAACACACACACACACACTTAAAACATCTTTCAAAATGGTTCTATCTTGACAATGATTTTCTAAGATAGAACCAAGTGATTAAAAAGTTGTCCAAAACCTTTTTCAAATATTTTTAACTATCTATCCGATTAGAAAAATGTGTCGATCTATTAGAAAAACTTTTTAACCATCCAATCGATTGGAACAATATGCTAATCGATTAGAAGAGTGTCAATCGATTATAAAATAAATAAGGCAAACATATTAATGACTTGTAACAGATCTATATTCCAACCTTCCTATTTGGGCTTGCAAATCAATTGTAAATAAGTTACCTAATGCATTTGAGCTTTTTCCAATCGATTAGATAATTAATTCGACCCATGGATTATTTCTTTTCTTAGTTTTTCCAACTACTATATAAGAAAGGCACACCCTCACTTCAAACCAAGTCACTTTCCAACGTTTTCATATTTCTTTGGAATTTATCTCTCTCCTTCTATTTAGAAACTATTCGTATTCACTTCTAATTGCCTTAGTAGTTACTTGTGACAAAAATATTTTTGTAAGTGATCGCGTTGGTCGTTTATATTCTTAAGAGTGTGATACCTTTAAGAGATTGAGTTTGGTTTTTGATATCAATCTATTATGAAATCGTTGTTCTTGGTTTATTAAGCTTTTCTAGAAAAAGATTTGTTTTGATTATTGAGATTAGCCATAAATCTCTAAAATGTTCGATAGTTTAGTCTGGGTTAAAAGTTGTCATTTAGTTGGGGATAAGCCTGTTAAAATCTTAAAGATCAGATTGTATTAAGGTTTGTAGGTATAACCTTCGAAATATCAAAGTCCACATTGAAACTCTCAAAAAGACCTCTTGGGGACAAGACTAGGCCAATGTTCGGTCAAACTTGTATAAATACCTAGTGCAATCTTTCTAACCCTATCCTTTTATTTTATGCAATTTACTTTTAGTGTTTTATTTTCGCTGCGATTACTCAACTAAAAAATTAGTAATATGATCCTAATTGAGAAAGGTTGAATACCAAAATTCACCTCCCCCCCCCCCCTCTTGTGTTTGAAGTCATTTGTCTAACAAGTGGTATTAGAGCCTAACTTCTATTAAGGACTAATCATCCAGGGAGGAAAAATGTCTTCAAGTTATTCACTAAATAAACCTCTATCCTTCAATGGAGAAGAGTACAGTTTGTAAAAAGAGAAAATGAAATTTTTCATAGAAAGAAGTGATCGTGGTATTTAAAAGGTTGTCAAAGAAGGACCATTTAATGTTAATGGTGTTGTAGTAGACAAGCCTTGAAAGGACAGGTCCAAAGAGGATAAAGAGTATGTGCAACATGGTTTGAAAGCTAAGAACATCATCGCCACCATACTCGGTCTTGATGAATTCTTAAAAGTTTCTCAATGTGAAACTGCTAAAGAATTGTGAGACATCCTTTAAATCACCCATGAAGGTACTACTAAGGTAAAGAGGGAAAGGTTATACATATTAAACCATGAGTATGAACTCTTCATAATGAAACCTGAAGAGAACATAAATCAAATGCAAATATGATTCACCCACACCATGAGTCATATGAGAACTCTGGGGAAAACATTCTCAAATGAGGAATTAGTCATAAAAATTATTAGATGCTTGAATCGTAGCTGGAAACCCAAAGTTATTGTGATTTCTGAATCTAAGGATTTGGCGATTATGGACACACACTCTTTTTGACAAATTGTAGGAACATGAAATGGAACTCAAAAGGCTTACCATAGATGAACAAGGAGAAAACAAAAGCAATAGTCTAGCACTTAAAGATGAAGAATCTAACTCAGATAGTGACATGGCCCTCATAGTAAAAAAATTTAAGAGATTTATAATAAATGAAAAAAAGAAGAAAAAAAACAAGCAGAAGAACAAGAAAAAGATGAAGAAAAATCATTCACTCAAACATGTTACAACTGCGAAAACAAAGGACACACTAAACCATATTGTCCTATATTAAATAAGGTAAATCAAAAGTTCAAAAAGAATCAAAAGAAGAAAGCTTATGTCGCCTGGGAAGATAATGATATGGAATTCTCGGATGATGAAGGAGAAAAAGCCAACATATGTCTGATGAAAAATCATCAAGATGACGAGGTAACCTCTTAATTTTTCTATCATGACTTATTTAGATTATGTAAGAAATTAACAAAGGAAATAACCAAACTAGATAAAATTATTTCTACATCCAAAGATATTATTTCCTCTCTTGAAAATAAAAACAAATCCCTAGAATAGGAAATAGAACACCTTAGAAAGAAAATCCCTAAAAGAGGAAATATAACACCTTAGAAAGAATGACGAAAACTTCAGTCAAAACCCTTCCACTTCAAATGAAGAACCGGACATGTGTAATAGCTGCAAAAACCTAAAAAATGAAGTATGTGATCTTCATAAAACACTTTTCAAATTCACCAAAGGGAGAGATAACCTGGAATTCTCGTTAGGAAATCAAAGAGCCTCTTACAACAAAGTCAGGTTAGGTTATGAACCGAAGAGAAATAGAAATAACTTTGAGAACACGTGTAGAGCCTAAAACATGCCTCACTATAGCGTGTTAAAATGCAAATAATGAAACAAAGAAGGACACTTAGCCATGTTCTATTTCATAAGGAAAATCCATGAAAGAAAAGAAGGACTTCCCTATTCATGTTTCTACAAGAAACATTGTGAACACAAAGCTAAAATTTCATCT